GGTCCTACCTGTTTTACGTGTAGGAAGTCACATTGCTTATAATTGACCTTAAAGGTAGGGTTTGTGTTCTATATTCGACACACTTCTTTAGTCAGTACACAGGGATGGAAAGAAAGAGCTGAAAAATGTACCTCAGCAGACTTTATGACCTGGAGTTTCTGTGGAACTCTTCAGTTGTACATTGGCACAGACAATAAAGCCAGCTTTTGGATGCAAACTGTCAGCATTATCCCTAAAAATCCCCAAACAGTACTAAATAACTTACCTTTCAAAGGCACATCGAATGACAACCAAGATTAAAGCAAAAGGGACACTGAGCAGGAGATCACGAGGCTGAGGGTAATGGACGTCTTCAGACTCTTGCATGTCCTCCCAGGTGATTCCTGGGGGCAGCCAGAACTCATGCTGCCACAGCCACTCATTCAGAGAGCGTGCCATCCTGGAAGGAAGAGAGACCAGAATAAACGGAGGAGGACAGCCTCGCACACAGCAAACCTGTCAGCACAAGCCAGTGAAGCAGAGGAAGGATTACACCCTCGCTGAGGTTGCATCTGGTTGTGAAAGCAGAAGAGGTGTGGAACGCATCAGTGCCCAAGGAACTGATAACCTGCTCACAGATTTTTATCAGGTGCTCAGTGACTGCTGACTGCTGGCACAGAACCAAAAAAGGGCTAAAACAGAGATAAGTGGTTCAGAGTTCCACAGAACATTACTGTCATTCTCAGCAAGATGTTTCAGAAAGTTTTAAATTTAATACTGCAGCTTCTCAGGTTCATAAGTTCCTTTCTACAGGACTGACAGCTTGATATCACGAGGATGTGGCAAGTCTGCTCCAGGGCTGGCTGCCAGCTGTTCTTTTATAGGTACATATCCTTATTTTTTAGTCTGTGATCTTTTGTATTTATTTGTTTCTATTCACACATTGCAATTCCACTGTGTGCATGTGTGCATATGTATGCGTTATAATTAATATTATACTGAGACTTCACCTTCAAAAATAAAAAGAGCTATCTTCTGCTTTAAATGATTAAGGAAAGTACTTCCAGGTAAGCATTTCTGTGCTAAGTGGTAAGCTGGATTCTTAATGTAATTTTAAAGACCATGCCTGAAGGTGGGATTTACATATGTGATCAGAGAATTCAGCAGCATAGAAGACAGTGGAATGGGTGTAACAAAGCATTCAACATGAAAATACTGTTGCTAGATAATTCTACCTCATACACAAATATGAGCTGCACTGCCCTTCTATACAGGCTGCTCATTCTAGCTGGTAACAACAAATAGCCCAAACACAAGCTCTGAACAGAAGTCAGACTCTGAGCAGGCACAGACTAAGGAAAGGGGAAGCATGGGAATGAGTTGTCCATTGAGATCATCTGAACAGCACATGGGAAATGCCATCGTATGAAACCAAGGGAAAAAGCATATAATTTAAGCGTCTGACCTGAGTATCATAAAGCATCTCACCCAGTGGAGGCCCAAACCCTGGCCCATTTTCATAGAATCATAGAATGCTTTGGGTTGGAAGGGATGTTTAGAGGTCATCTAGCTCAACCCCCTTGCAGTGAGCAGGGACATCTTCTACTAGATCAGGTTGCTCAGAGTCCCATCCAACCTGACCTGCAATGTCTCTAGGGATGGGGCCTCCACTACCTCTCTGGGCAATCTGTGCCAGTGCTTGACCACCCTCATTGTAAAAAATTTCTTCCTTATATCCAGTCTAAATCTACCCTCCTTTAGTTTAAAACCATTACCCCTTGTCCTGTCACAACAGGCCTTGCTAAAAACATTGTTCCCATCTTTCCTGTAGGCCCCCTTTAAGTACTGGAAGGCTGCAATAAGGTCTCCCCGCAGCCTTCTCTTCTCTAGGCTGAACAACCCCAGCTCTCTCAGCCTGTCCTCGTAGGAGAGGTGCTCCAGCCCTTGGATCATTTTTGTGGCCCCCCTCTGGACCCACTCCAGCAGGTCCATGTCCTTCTTGTGCTGAGGGCCCCAGAGCTGGATGCAGTACTCCAGGTGAGGTCTCACCAAAGCAGAGTAAAGGGGCAGAATCACCTCCCTCAACCTGCTGGCTACGCTGCTTTTGATGCAGCCCAGGATACGGTTGGCTTTCTGGGCTGCAAGTGCACATTGTTGGCTCATGTCCAGCTTTTCATCCACCAGTACCCCCAAGTCCTTCTCTGCAGGGCTGCTCTCAACCCCATCATCCCCCAGCCTGTACTAATATTGGGGGTTGCCCCGTCCCAGGTGCAGGACCTTGCACTTGGCCTTATGGAACCTAATGAGGTTCACACTGGCCCACCTGTCCCAGCTTGTCCAGGTCCCTTTGGATGACATCTCGTCCTTCTGGCATGTCAACCGCACCACTCAGCTTTTCTGCAAGGAGAACTGCCTAACAAATGGAAAATGAATCATACATTTGATTTTGAAGATATCTTTAATTCAGAAGTACTTTCTTTGTTAGTTAAACTGAAGATTTGCATTATTCCAGAATTTTGCAGAGTCTAAGGGATATTGTCTGAATCATAACCTCTTTTCTTGATTTGGACTTTATTATTCATCTGAATGTGTCTTTTGATCTGACTACAACAGGGAAGAACAGGACCCTGTTTCTTCAAATCTGACTCTCATTTCTCCTGGAGCACGCGCAGCCAATTCAGTACAATGACAAAGGTGACAAAGTCATTGGCACATAAAATGAAGATAAACGGGGGTTACAGACTCTTCAGATTCTGTTTTAAGAGCCTGACAATCAAGATGCAACAGTTTTTAAGTTGCCTGCCAAGTCTCGAGTCTCCACAACTCTCTGAGGTCTAGAGTATAACCTAACTTCCCCCATCGAGGTCCTTCCAAGGTGGGAACATCTGCTGCCCACTGTCTGTCCCCTTTTCCTCTGGCAGGGCTGTAGGATCCTTTAGCACTAGTTCCCTTTCCATCTTGCCTTTGGTGATTCAGCAAAGGCACCTGAAGCCAGGTCCATGGGACAGTGGTTACAGGGCTCGTTGTGCATTAAAAAGAGAGAAGTTAGCTGAAGGAAGCATACATACATACATGCTAGTGAAAGCTTTTCAGACTACTCAATAAACATGCTATTAACGAGTATAGCTCCGCTTGGGTGACACAGACATAAGTCCATGGGACAGCCAGCTACTGTGCTGAACAACCTCAGAGCTTTGGTGAACTGTATTTTCAGGATGTCCCTGAGTCTCCTGTAGACTGTGTGAACACAGGTTTCTGCACAAAAGTCTACCGTTATAGAGCAGAAAGTGTCTATGCAGAAGCAAGCTGTATGAGTGTGGGCTTAGTCTGTGATGACTTCAACACGCTGTCACTATGAGATGTGACAGTGTTCCAAAACAGCTTGTGCACTTCAGCTAGGTACTGGATACCTGCTTAGAAAAGTCAGATAACCTAAGCCAGGTGTCTGAAATGCAAAGAGCTTTACAAGGCATGAAAGACACCAACCTCAAAAGTGTTGGTAAACTTCCTTAGCTGCTAAAAATCTCAGCTCTAGTCAGGAAAAGCATGAGAACATCAGAAATACCTAGGAGAACTACAGATAGAAATTACACTTCCTCCCTGCCTCAGCTCTTCAGAAAACACTTCTTCAGTACCACAGGGTTATCCCATGGTTCAGAGACAGCAGGCATACTAGGGAAAGCTGCCATAGTAGCTAGCTTTGCAATTACACAACCAACAATTCTCCCTCCAGGACTCTCTTTATCTGGCAGCAACACAAAAAGATGCAACACACGCTTGGTAGAGGACAGCAGCTGAACTCTGCCAAGGTCTCTCTGTGGGGAGTATATAAAGTAAGTCTTCCAATTTGCTTAGGGGGAATATTCTTAGATTCAAAGCGCTAAGGAAGTAAACAGCCATTATCTAATCTACTCTCATGTGCAAACTATGTATGGTCAGGATCACCTTCCTGGAAGATTTCTTTATCTCTACAGCTTTCCTCACACATCACAAAAATATAGAAAAGGGTACAGCATGAAGCAACATATTTATCTTTTGCACTTTACACAGGCCAA